TCCTCTGCTCAACAATCGATGGAAAGACACGTCGCGCCCATCGATTCATGTCGATAGATGCGGAGCTGGTTGCTTATTAGGATATGACCACTGGGAGATGACGATAGGAAGGTACGAGTGTCGTGTGTACCAACTCGACAGACAGCGGACTCTATGGCTACCACATATGGCAGTGGCAATCCAGACGGTCCAATCTCGCTCATTCCAATGCACTGTCCATCCAGACGAATTCCTCGTTCTCGTCAATGGAGAACGAATACGTTACAATGTCATACGTTACTTATTAACTCCATCACCGCAATTCTTACTGACCTCAAAGTCATGGGGCTTGCACACCACAGATCCGAAATTCCTGTCTCTTCACCACATTTATCGATCCAGAATCGCGCCCACTTGGTGCATAGCTTTTTGCGATGCTCGAAGACCATTTTGCTTGGCGAGGGTACGACCAAAGTTACGCCGCGCCATCATAGGATCTGTACTCGGTCGATAAATTTGTAGCTAACATGTCCATAAGCAGTGAGTGCGTAGCGCATCCTGTCTTAGTGAGCCAGATCACCTGCTTCGAACGACCGGATCCTATATAATTGCACTGCAGCGATTGTACTCTTTGGGCTGTATAGAAAGTATTCTGCCGATGCAGCGGTGCTAGAATGGAATCTACAGCGTCGCCACCAGCATTTGATTCGTTGCTACTATGACTGAATGAACGCCAGCGTAAGGACGACGCAAGCAACTACGTGCGCAAGCACCCCAAAGCTCTAGCCCTTGCTAGCTACCTCATCTCCAATCCAAACAAAAATGTCATTTGGACTACTACCGAATTCAGGAGCAAGCTTCACTGCATCTTCCAACAGCCGTAGCAGCACATTAAGTGGAAACCCTCAATCTTTGAGGCAAAGACGCACGTGGTGCGGTTGTGACTCGGGTATGTCACTGAAGTACCTCGCAAAATCACTGCGCTTCATTTTAACGATTGTACTACCTGCTCGCATCAGTTGATTAGAAGCTCTTACATTGATTGTTTGCTCGACCATTTGGGCTCAAGGCATGGTATAGCTAGCATGGTAATGAGACATGGCAAGCTCCGCCACGATCAGTTCAAACGTATGACTGCATGTCGGGTGGAAGCATCTGCTGCCAATGAGGAGGTTGATCGACCGTGAGACGTCGAGTCGTCAGTTCGAAACCGTAGAGCACATCCAGGTAAGCGATATGATGCGCCAACTCGGCTTTGGGATGTAAATGTCACTAGAAAGGGTTTTTACTCGTCCTGCGTGTCGCATCAAACTTACACGAGTAAGACGACGGTCTCTGTGGTGTGCACACAAATGTCACTTGCGAGCGAGATGGTCTCATACGACTTTGATGTGCTGCTGGTCTCATGCTTTCAAATTGCAGCGTCAACCACTTCTTGTGATGTTAGACTGAAGGCCGTGCGTCATCAGGTGCTAGGCAAGAAAGTTGTGAAAGCGCGGGGAATGTTGAGCGAGCTCGTACCACTGCTTCAGTTACAGGTACAACGACAGCCACGTGGAAAGTCTTTCATGAGAAGAGACCCATACTCTCGAGAAAGTCGATGACTTGCAACGCAAGCGTTTGCTATCTCAAGTGTCATCGGCCTTCCTCATCCCACTTCTGTTGATCACCTTGGGCTCTCTCACACTAGCGGTACAAACTCTACTACTACCATACATATAGGTAGAGGGCTCGCCGCTACCACAATAAAGTCGTTGACGACACATCGACGTACCTTCACAACAAGACGCCATCTTGTGGGAGCGCACTCGCTGAAGGGCCTCTGAACCACTTTTGTTATCGCGCTCAAGTCGTTTACTCATCTTTGCGTCCTGTCCTCTCCACTTGAGCAGCACTGACGTGCCGTTTGTCACCCCTCTTCTTCTTCCGGACACTGTCGAGGGACAAATGCGGGATCGTCAGCTCGACAAGTCGGTACCGTTCGTTCCACAACGCCCGTGTCAGCAGCAGCAGTATCGCATATCATGTCAAAGCTCAGGATGGCGCTTGAGCGGTACTGTTTTGTTGTAACCCGACGAAGGACGACTGACGACACAGCGAACATCGCGTTGTGGCCTCTGCGTGTCCGTCGTATCGACTGTGGTGCATGACGAAGATTCCATTCCTTGAAGCCACGAAAGCTGGCTTCGGAGGCTCTTACTCCCACGAGCGAGAGAGAGCCTGTTCTAAAGATGTCCTCCGTTCCATTCAGCGTCGTGCGGCTGTCCACTCAACATTGCGCACGTACGACTAAAGCCGCCGTGACGAGTCTCTTGAATCTGGTAGTCAGCATGTGTCGCCGACGACTGCTCGTTTGTCGGACTCATTTCGAGCGCACTTCCACGTCACATGTATCTGTCGATATCTCATTTCGATGAGCCAGTCGGTTAAGGTGTTGGTTGCCCTCTGTTTTTCCGCCCACGGTCGCAGCAGCACGTGCTACGCTTCGTACGTGTTTGAACAGCGTGTGGCCTATTCGTAGTGCGATACAACTTGTTCATCATCACGCTTTCGCTCGTGTAAAACGTCTCGAACGTTCCGTGACGTTACGGCGGCCTTGTCAGCGACAGGTACCTCGGACTGAATCGACGAGTTGAGTCTGCTTTTTCTGTCGTAGTGTTATTGTTGTTGCTGCGATATGAGGGAGACGATGCTCGCAGGGTTACACATGCGGCTGTGGGAAACAGGGCCGAGAGGTTATGGCGAGGATTGATCGACCGCAGTGATCATCGTCATCATCAAGTGGCGACAAGGCGCTGGTGCTTCGTCTTCTTCCGGCTCCATCACCACTGTGGGATACATCGAGAGGTGCACGAACGGTTGGATGTGCAGAGCAAGAGAGAGAGAGAGAGCGAGAGAGGCTGCAAGGAAGAGCTGCAACGCGACAACCGCTTGTGCATGTAATCGCGCGCTAGCGAGTGGATACCGACAGCTTCAACTGCTACTGTCTGCGTCACAGCCACGCACTGTCGGGACAAGAAAAGATCGATCGATCGATCCATCAATCACCAGCCATTCGATCGTGCCCATCCGTCACCTAGCATCCTGCAGCCTAAGACCACTGCCGTCGTTTACGTCGACGCTCAGCTGCTCCCTGGGCGCGTGCTGATGGCGAAAACGGCGACACGTATTGCAGTTGACCGTCTGCGCTTCGACCGGGATCGCGCATCTTTGACACCTCGTGAACAAGGACTAGACACCCCCGTGTCGACGATCGCAACGACGTGAGCTCTCTACGCGGAAGAAAAGCTGTCTCGACGATGCTTAGGCCCTTGACGCTGCCAAAATTTCATCCAGCCACTGTCTGCGGTCTCGTCAAGAGACACGGGCGCTCGGAGCCACACACGCACAGCATTAGCCAACGTATCCACTGCACTTGTCGCAGACACAGTGGCTCTGATGCCTCACGTCAAGCGCAGCACGTCGCACGTGGCCCTCGTGGCAGTCGCTTCTGGTCTCAGCAGCTGTAGCGGAGCGCCCTTGACGAACTAGCGGCATGCGCTCCGAACGACGGCACGAAGATCGAGCACCAGCGATCGTTCCTTAGTCGAGACCGACCGCCAGCGTCGTCGTTCGGTCAGAGCTGCGACGACGCTGGGAAATCTGCGAAACGCGCTCGTCGCGAGGTCAGGACGTCGTACGTGGTGACTACTGGGTCACCTGCTGCGGGGTCGCTCCCTCTCTGGGTGTGTGGTGCGCGCGCACCGTCGTGCGATTGCACAGCCACAAATTGTCACACAGGGCACGGGCTCCGCTTGAAGCTGCTCGGCGGCCGCAAACACTCGCGCGTCCGTCGTAACTCGCTGTCCATCTGCTTGTGCTGCTGTCGTAGCGCGCGTGTCTTTCGTGCGTGGTCTGTCCGGGCTATTGCACCGCATTTCGGGGAGGACACGTTGGCCCACACAGTGGACAAATAGCCGGAGATGCAAAGCACCTGCGCGATTCAAGCGATTACTGCGTTCAGGATGTGCTCGCGACCTACTACGTGCTCGCGGCCGAATGCGTGCGTGGTCGGTCGTTGTCCATGTCGTTGGTGATAGTGGCGTTAATGGTGTTGGTAGTGTGGATATTCTGATACAATCTTGATGCCGATCACTCTCTGTCGCTCGCTCGCACGGCATCAGAGTGGACACTCGCAGCGACGAGACAGAGCTGATCGGTCGATTACTTTGTCGACGACACGCGCTTTGCGGTCGGGAATGCACGCACTGTGGACGGGAGACCGCCGACCGTCGGGTCCCTCCCTACCATGGCATCGTCACGAAAGAGGGGCGTGCAGTCGGGACGGCCCAAATCCTGCCGGCACCTCGAGGTATCGCCACCCAGCTGCAAACGGGCCGTCCGGGCGTTGCGGTGCGTCACGAGGGCCAAGTTAAAGGATACTCGTGCCGAGCGGCCGAGCAGGCAGATCCTACAAGTCTTACGCCCCTGCTTCGCGTCAAGTTGAGCTCGAGCCAAGCGGACGCTGGTACGACTTGCGCTCGTTTTCGGCCGTCTCTCTTGACCGGCAATAGGACCGCAGCACCGCGTGCTGGTAGGTAGGTAGGTAAGGTACCTGCTGGTCGGTATCCGACGTTTCTCAACGACGAGGAACTCGGGCTGCAGAAACTGGGCGCTGCGAGACATCCGGCGTCTCGCTTCAAGCATCTCGCCTGGTTCCACGTGCTACTCACGCGCTTGGCGCTCGAGTGGACTCGACAGGACGCCCTCCTCCCTCAGTCTCTGCTTTGCTTACCCAAATGTGCAAACAGCAGCTCCGAAAGCCGCGGCGCACTCGAGAAGAAGAAGAAGAGCCGGCCAAACGTGACAGCAAGCCACGCCACGGGAAAAGTGTCAACTGAATCCGCACGCCCGACGGCGATTTGGACGCGCGCGCGCCTCCATGACCCGCACTTTTGATTTCGCTGGGCAGGCCCGAGCACTCGTGCGTGCTAACAATCCACTTGCGCCCCCCACACGCCGTCCGTCCGTCCGTTGGCTTCATGGGCCCCACTGCCGCGCGCCACACGCTCGCGGAGCTTCAGTTCCCAAGCTTCCACCCGCAGCTCAAAGGCCCGGCCGCGCTCGAGCCGCCCATGCGCGCTGACCCGCAGTGGATGTCCTCGTCCGTCTCGTCGTCGCCCACGAGCATCGCGTCGCACACGACGAGCTCTGGCACGATGACGACCAGCTCCAGCACGTCGCAGCCACTCCCGAGCTTCACGCTCGAGCTGCAAAGCAGCGGCAGCTACTATACCGGCGGCAGTTGCAGTAGTAGTAGCACGTCCACGTCCACGTCCAGCACCACCTCGAGCCACGTGCCCTTCCGGCCGCCCATCATGAGCCTTTCGACGCCGACGGGGTACTACACTCAGCAGCAGCTGCTGCCGCCGCGCGACGGTCCGACGTACGCGTCGTCGTCGTCGGCCGCCTCCGTCGGCGCTTCGTCGTCGTCCTGGAGCGGTCCGAACTACCCCAGCGACTCGGCCATGGTCCTCGGTGATTACCTCCACGCCACTCATCATCCACCTCCGCCGCCGCCGTCTTCGATCCCTCCTCCACCTCACCCTTCCCAGGTCGTCCTGCATCCGCTCGTGCTTCAACATAGCGAACCTTTGCCGCGGTCGAACGACGACGACTTGGCCATGGACGCCCAAATGCTGCGGGAGGTGCTCCAGGGCATGCCAACGGGGCAGACACCCGTGACCGGAAACCACAGTCACCACCATATCCACCATCATCATCCGCCCCACCACAGCCATCACCACCACACGACACAGGGCCGTGGCCAGCCGTCCCCGATGCCGGGTCTCCAGCTCCTGTTTGCGTCGCCCATGCACTCGTCCGACCTCCCGACCGCTTCGCAGCCGTCGCTCGTTCCTGGTTTCTACAGCACCGCGATGGCCATGGCCTCGACACAGGCCGACCTGCTGCTCGCGGCCAGTCACCCGACGACGACGTCGTCGCACGCGGCGCCGGCCACTGCACCGTCGGCCATGTTCCCGTCCTTAGCACCGACGGCCGACCGCGGCGCGACCGGTGCGTACGACTCGTTAGGTCTGACCGCGAACCCGTCGGCACTGGCCCTCACGTCGTTGGCGCAAGAGCCGCCGCGGAAAAAGCGGTCAAGCGCGACGCGCATTTGCAAAGTCGACGGGTGTACCAAAGGCATCCGGTCGCGCGGGCTCTGCAAAGCGCACGGCGGCGGCCGGCGGTGTACCACCCCGGGGTGCACGACAAGCGACCAGGGCGGCGGCCACTGCGTGTTGCACGGCGGCGGCCGCCGCTGCCGCATCGAAGGCTGCAAAAAGTCGGCGCAGTGGCGCGGCGTGTGCAAAATGCACGGCGGCGCCCGGCGCTGCCGCTACGGGCAATGCACGAAGAACGGACAAGTGAAGCAGGGCTACTGCCGGATGCACCACAACCTCTTGACGGAGCAGCGCCAGCAACAAGAACAACTGCAACTGCTACAGCTGCAGCAATTACGGCAGCAATTGCCGGCCGAGGGCAGCATTTAAAGAGGAAGACGGTGAGGACGACATGGGGCGAAGATGAAGACGGCGAGGAGGAGGAGGAGGAGGAGGAGGAGGAGTGATGAAGCTCCACCCACGTCCGCGAGCAAAGTTCCGGTCGTACAAATACTGTTCGTGTGTAAGTAATAAGTTCTCTGCTTTAAAGGAGAAGAGAGAGAGAGAGCGAGAGAGAGAGAGACGCTCGAGTTGAGTTGACGTAGCCATGACACGTTGGACGTAATTAACATAATGAAGTGAGCTGTTCCTTCGTTTCGTCTTCTGCTTCTTCTCGATTACGTTTCTTTGCCGTCTCGCGTCAGCGTGTACATCTTTTGACGCTTGACACTTGTGTTCTCTTGCGTGTTGTTGGGAGATGTAGAGACGTCGGTCGCTCGAGATAGATATTTCGCTGTTTGTGACCGGTGTCATGACTACTTGCAGTGGATTACTTCGGCACAGCGCCATGCTTTTTCGACTGTATGATTCATGGTGACTACTTGCCCTGAGACTGTGCGTCAGTCGTCAAGGAAGTGTAAGGTGTGTCGAGACGCTCATCACTTTGACAAGCGAAGACACGTTTTGCGCGTTCGTCATGCACTCTGTCGTTACGACATAGTGAGGAAAGAGAATTGCGAAACGGCAGGGGTCTTTGTGACACATGTTGTGTGCTTATCCCTGCACTCGCGCGCAAGACCACGTTGGCATGAGCCTATTTATTGTTGTTGTTGTTGACATGCTTACAAAGGATACAGAAGAAAGATTGCGTACGAATACATGGCAAGTAAGGCATTCAAGACATGCTCGAGAAAGCGAGAAGAGCTGATCCATCTTTCGTGTGGGTCATGTGTTGCTGTCTAAACTATGACTCGTACGTCGACGTCAATCGACGCATGTATGCAGTCTTGACGTTTGTTTGTGATGTGTGAGGTATGGACGTAAAGAACCAGCCTCTACCTGATCAAGCAATCTGCCATGAGGATCTGCGCATGCTAACGACGCAGGGTTTGCCGGCTGCGAAAGTCATGCACAGATTAGTGCCATCAGAAACGGGATCATGTCAAGATGACATATAGCAGCAAAACAATGGCATTGTGACGAAGCCTCAGCACTGTCTGTGCCGTGCAGTTGCGCGCATCCAGTACTGTCCCTCATCGTATCTCGCACGGTCTCACGTGCAGCGTGACATCTTCCATAAGCAGCTTGCACGCAACAGACGCTGATTACAGCCTAACAACGTTAGTGCGATCCATCAGAAAAACCAGATGCGCAAGTCGTTTATTGAGCACGGAAGCACATGTATCTTCCAGCTGCCCCGTGCGGAAGTTGTGAGGCTACGCGCAAGTGCACTTGAAGTTGAAGGAGAAAAGTCTTCTACTTCGACCAAGTGCGAAGCCATTGCTGTCGGTGCGGCTGCGAAGATGAGACCATAAGGCGAAGCTACGAAGGCGACGGAAGCTCCCAATGCGTCCAGGCCATGCCGTCCAAGCAGCCCTCCTTTATCACTTTCACGAAAACATCTTGCATCGATGTTCACTCTCAGAATAATTACAACTCAGCGGTGCGTCACGAAGGAATTGCGCTTGAGTGCTAGGATGCCTTTTGTCAGAGATATCCTTTGTTCATTTCACCGGTGTGTTCCCGCGAAGGTTGCTGGATTCTTTCCAACAAGGCAACTAATGGTACCGTCGGTACTTACATACGGATGTTAATCACCTGCGAAAATTTGCTACTGGTACACATTACTCACCATATTGACGCTGTCAGTCGTTGCACGAGACTCCTTGACAACATTACTTACGACGCTCACGCCGTCAGTCGCTCTTCGAGACTTCTTGACAACATTACTTACGACGTTCACGCCGTCAGTCGTGCTTCGAGACTTCTTGGCCACATTACTCACCACGTTAGCGTTGTCAGTCGTTGCACAAGACGTCTAGACGACTCTTTTATTCGACTGGCCAGCAACTTGGACACGAATCTCAGTTCAAAGACAGTAGACTGAGTAGTGGCGATCGGCTTCGTCATTAGGTCCTCTGGCATCAATCCTGTCGGGATTCGCTCGAAAACCGACCTTACCATCTTCAGTCGTCTTGCGCACAATGTGATCGCGAATGTCGATGTGCTTGGTGCACTTGGAATACCCTTGGCTCTTTATCAATTCGATCCCGCCTCGATTGTCTTCAAACACCTTCGGTACACCATCGCTTGCTTCGTAGACGAGCTCACGCACGAATGTCTTGAGCCGCGCTACTCCTTCATCGTGCGGCAAAGCCATGTGCTCAGCTTCAGTTCGTAAGAGAGTCACGGTACGTTGTGGGCACGCTATGGTTTTTACTGCTTCGCTAAGCGATACAGACAACGTCAAATACGAACACGCAGTCCTTGGTGCTGCATCAAGTTTTCCTGTATCGCATCGAGGTTTCCAGTCTCCGGCCCGATCTCCGTTTGAGTAGCCGATGAGATCATCATTGTCATAATGGAGACACAAATGTCGTCTGCTGGAGTCGCGCAAAGGTGTTGGCGTTCGCGTTCGCGTTTGCGATATTGCCAGTGTGTTGGGCACGAGTCGGCAGCAAACTGACTTCTAGTGCCAGTAGCAGTAGCAATGTCTGGAATAATGCCAGTAGTGAAATACATGCTGGCAACTATGGCGCTCCGATTTGGCACACCAGAGTGTCATGATATCACCGTGCTTGTGACCAGTTTTGCACATGACGTTACTTAGTGTAAGTTCTTGGTTGCGGGGTTTTCTATGGCTTTCCATGGCAGACTTGTGCACAAAATAACCATGTTATCCCGAGCTCACGCGATATCGCGCTGCCCAACTCGGCGTCACGCTCGACTTTCAAGCCGAGACAGTATGTGATTCAACTGAAGTCAGACTATGATTCTATTTGCTTGTGAGAGCTTGCTCTGTCTCGATGAGCTAATCCGTGTTGCTGCACGCAAGGATGACAGTGTCTAGAAGATGACCACAAAAGTTTTCGTCTTACGTGATGGTTGATGTCTAAAGTTAGATCTTTTTCACACTACTCGACGCCAGATTTACTCGTGAGCTTGTCGTCAGGCTGAAGCTACATGCGCGACAATTTTGTAGATAGTCAGTGGGCTGAAGATCTTACGCACTCGATCAGGATTTTTGGGATCGACAGTGCCATCAGTTTGCTTGGCGTAGATCTCTGCATCTAACAAGCAATTGTGGGACACTACTTACATCATTGGTTCCGTGTAAGCTTATACTGACCCGCGACGATCTAGATACCCTCAATTGACGTGAGATAGATTTCCAGCGCGGTTCTATTGACTCCACGACATACTAGTGTGAAAAAGCCTTGCCGCAAATCGCGCCATGACATGCCTTGTGGTGACCTCGTAGAACCAAAAGCTTCACGTCAAAGGCATGTAGACTGACTTGGTCTTCAAGTCAAAAACGTACCTTCAATTTCTTATATGTATACCTTTTTTTAGCGTCATGTTGCTGAAGATAAGAGTTGAAATTAAAAATAACGTCTCAATAGTAAGAACTTTACCCTTGTAGATTTCAATCAGCCCTGTATGATCGCTTATGTGCTGCAGCGAGGTCGCTGTAGTCGTTTTATCAGCGAAGGATGTAGACGCGAAGAGGTTTGTTTGGTGCACGTAATATATCTTCGTACGGTGATCATGATACCCAGCGCGACCCAAGAAGGTGCCTTTAAAAAGGGACCAAGCTCTTGAACGTATAGAACAATCACGATTTCGACAATTGAAATGTAACAGTGTGAGCCTGTAATATGTCATTGGCACGAATTATGCCAATGTAAATTTTATTGATAATAAGCTACAACATTACTCTTGCGAGTCAATATTGAAGGAATATTACCTTTAGATGTAATCTTTGGCACCTCTTTACAACTGGCTGATATAGGCTATGATATCAAACGAATAAATCGCCGATCGCTGCTGGACGCGCGCTAGGGGTGGAAAGCCAAACGTAACATAAAGGATTTGTAGTTTACTTCATAAAAGATGAAGAAGATAATGAAAGCAGTTTGACTATATATTACCAGTTTCACTATCTCCCCGACTGAGTGCATTTCTAGCTCAGATTGTTATTTTTCCACGCACGTATCTTGAACGTGAGTTCTTGGATCACACTTGTAGTGTATCAGTGCACGAGCTTATCAGTTATCATGGTAAATGTGTGTTTATCACACATATCATTCTTCTCAGCAATGAGCTTTAAGCTGATGCGGCAGTCCGATCATCACCACAGCACGACTACAGGGTCGTATGCGTAGATAATATGAAACCTAAGAAAATTCGATGAACCTGCACATGTCGTTTAAAACGTCAGCGGCGTATTGGCAGTCTTTCCGGCCGGACAATTTGTATTGAGTCGAGTCCATCTGTCATAACATATCTCGTCATTTCGCTTCATAATAGTATCGTCCCGGAGACAACATCGCTTTGATAATACCCCTTCATGGTCGATCAACTATATTATCATCGTTACATAGATCGAACAATCGTCAAAGGGCGAGCATGGTATCTGGAAAATGTCCACTGTAGGTATTCTGGAAACACATGACAGAAATGCTTTGACTATGGAATCGCCCCATACGCGCTTTTACCCGCAACCGCAGTCTCCTTCAGTGGATTACTGATTGCACAATGAGATATATGCCACTGTCGCTGCCTATGCCACTGCCAAGCGTTTATCCAATGAACAGAATAGCAATCCTATCAATAATAATTAAACTGTTTTAACATTTGTTAAACGGATTATCGGTCTTGGAATATCATGGAATTGATTTGAACACTTTAGGCCCCCATCTTGTCTAAAACGACTTCGGATGCTCAAGCAGGATCTCGCTGGGTAGAAGAGCACACATAATATGTTACTTGGGATGACACAATAACTGGGTGCTGTCACACGCGTGTAAATTGGCGGCCCGACTTTAAATTTACAAGATAAAGACTTTGTCGGAAATGTTGGATGTTGATTATGGGGGGGGGGGCCCAAA